CACCTTCCACATTCTAGCGCACCAAGCTAGAGGCAACCTTCCTCCACATTTGTTGAAAGGACTGGCAATCAGAAGTACCATCGCGACCACATACTTACCCGCCACCACTCCCTGCCTCTTGATTTTGGGCTGAACTCTCTCTTTGAACGGTCGAGTACCTGTACCTCTTTGTCACATTTCACAAGGTAGGAGGTCCAGCAGTCACAGTCGCCGGTACTCGCCATGAACAATTACTACCCTTTCGGGTACCCGCCGTACCCAGGCCAGCCGCCTGTTCAACAGCAGCCGCAGCAGCAGCCCTACTCCTATCCGATTGCGCCGCCTTTCGCTCAATACCCTCAGCACACCGAAAACACCTATGATGGTGTCATGCACTCGCAGACCTCCTACGAGCATAATCAAAACATGATTCCTGGCCTTGGCGGCTACGGCCATCTCCCTCAGCTTCCCCAGCTTCCTCAGAGCTTTGGTTGGCAGCAACCCCAGCAGTCGCAGGAGCAGCAGCCACCTCTCCAGCATCACTGGCAGCCCCCGAGAGAGGGTCCCAACCTCATCCCAGCATCGCAGTACTATCACTCCGACCAGACCCCGAAGCCCAAGGCCCCCGTCGCCTCCGGCGCTCTCCCTCCTACCGCGCCGAAGCGATCTACGAAGCAAACCTCCAACGATGCCGAGGAAGGCGAGCTTTCTGACGGCGAACTTGATGACGTGTACGAGCCTCAGGAGATCCTTCCGGAGGCGAGCTCACGCCAGCAACGCCAGAACGTTCCGAATGCCGTAACTGCAAATGCGCGCAATGGCAAGACCAGCGCCGTGTATCCCAATCCCAGCTCCTATGGTGGTTCAAGAGATGGCGGGATGAAGCGTCCTGCAATGGCCGGTGGTGATGGTGCGTATTCCTTATTTTTGAGATGAAGACTTTTGTCGATTTAGAGCTAACACTCAGCAGATCGAGAGCATTCCGGATCATACTCCCCTCATTTGTCTCCTCACGAAGTTCACCCTCGCACAGCGTCCAACAATCAAAACGGCGCTTCCACCTCGCAGCTGCATGCTTCTAGTGGACAGTTCATTCAGCCTCTCGCAACGGGTGCCGGTCAGCAACAAGGCAAGAATGCGGTCGAGGAAGCTCGGCAGAGGGCTCGGTCTGCTATTGGGAACCTCTGGCCTCTGGGTGTCCGCCGCCAGGACTTTGTCGATGAGGGCATTGACAAAACCATTGTCGACAACCTTTTGACTGACTTGAAGCTGGATACCAAAGCGCCCAGTCAGTTCTCCATCCCAGGCCTTTCCACTGCCATGCCCCTGCCCGGGCTCTCGTATGCCTCTGGTCAGTCTGCCTCTCAACAGGCCAGAACGGCAGGTGCAGCGCTGCCCCCGAAGCTCCCGGCTCAGCAACAGTCATCACCTTCAGCAGTGAAGTCGGCTGGAGAAGAGAGAAAGGATCGAATTGCTCGCCTGTTGGCTGCAAAGGGTGCAAAGGCAGCAGCATCTTCATCCACCACCACTGGCGCACAAGCTGGTACGCCGAACGATAAGGAACTCGTCCAACAACAGAAGAAGGATGCTCTGCAGAAATCCCGTGAAGCCCGTGCTCAAAAGGCAGCGGAGCGCAAAGGCTCTTTGCAATCCTCTCAATCAAAGGAACCTTCCCCAGTTGAACCTCCTCGCAGACCTCAATCAGCAATTGCCAACGTGCCGGTTGTGGCGCCTGCTGCAAATCAACTTGCTCGGCCCAACGCCCTGCAACCATCAGCTGATCGTCAGACTGCTCCAGCTTCGGCCATTCCTGGTCTTTTCACATCTGCTCCACAGCCTGCGCCTCTCCTCAACCAGCGCAAAAGACCTGTCGCATCCGACTTCGTGGCCAATACTTATGCCCATAAACGCCCATTCGGTCATACTCAGCAAGACACTCGGTTTGTCATTGATGTTAGTGACGGGTCCGATGACGAGGATGTTGAGATGGAGATTGGGTCTCCCACAGACGAGCCGTCAAGCACTCAGCAAGACACGCCCTCTGTTAGACCGGCGTCTTTCCGCGACTTTCCGCCCCTATCCAACGGTCTCCCTCAACGCCAGCTTTCGAGCCCTGCTCCAAGCAACATAACTACTCCTCAGTCCGGCGCTGTAGGCCAGCCAAAGCAAGCTCATATCGATGTCATGGATAAGCAGATCGAGGCCATGAAGCGCAAGATTGCCTTGGCCGAGGCTCGCGCCAAGCTCAAGGCTGCCATGGGTGATAAGTCGCTTAGCCAGAAGTCGGCGGGCCAGACGCCGGATACTGCTCTTGATTCGGATGGCGGCAAGCCAAGCATGCGCAGAGTCCAGTCAATGGGTGATTCCCATGTATCTGATCCGCCTAACGGCCAGCAGTCGCCCGCGATTGCCGAGCCCAGCAGTTCACTGCGCTTGCCCAAGCCATCGGACAATCGCATGCAAGGAGAATCTAGCCGTTCTCAGAGGCTCCGGACTGTTAGCACCAATCTTCCGCTTCTCGAGAACAGACTTCAGACGAAGAAGAGCAAACTCCGCCTTCTGCAGATTCAAATGTCTCGTCTAGAGCAAGAGATTCAGGAAGAGGAGACTGAGAAGCAGAATTTGACGCAGGAGATGGAACAGCTCGACCAGGACTCGAATGAGTCGTCTGAGCCTCAGAACCAGTTGAAAAGCAACTCAGGTAAGTCCTCATTTTGAAAAAGATTGAATTAGGTTGATTATTAACTAAACAAAGTCGATCCCGTTATCCCTACAACATCCACAGGCCCTCAGTCCGAGATGCCGACTCCTTTGCCTGCTGCCGCAGACGCTGAGCAGAGTTCCAGCAAAGTGGCTGAACAATCTAATGCTGCAAGCGTGCGTCATAGCAAGTCTCCTTCAATGGGTCACGACAAGGACATTCGCAACACGGCAGATGATGTCGAAAATGCGGTCACTGGTAAAGCCGCAGCGAGCCCTTCGCAAGCCCCACCTTCCACAGAGACCCCCATGCCTGCGCTTCATGAGACTCCCAGCAACCCTGAGACTGTGGGTGATGATGATGAGTCGCAGCCAATCACTAGTGATGATGCCTCCGATGTTGCCATGGCCGAGTCCGATGACTCTAGCTCCTCCGAGCAAGAGCCTGAAGACGACTACGAGCCCGCTGAGAATGTTGTTCCGGCAGCTGCCGCGAAGTCTCCGTCCATCAGCCCAGTCGCAGCAGATAGCGCTGTTTCGCTTGTCAACAGTGACACTGACTCACAGCAAACGAGTGCCAGAGCCTCACAGATTCCCGAGCAGATCTCGTTGGGAGTCAATGAGTCGACCCCTGAGCAGGGTGTCAACGCCGTGAGAGAAGTACAATTCATTTTGCGCCAAGGAAGCGCTTCGGTTACTAACTTGGTTGCTAGGTCCCGCTTGCTACACAGAGCACTGATGAGGCATCATCGTCTGGAGAACGCTTCACCCCTTACGAGAGTCCACTGCAGTATTTCCGTGCTTACCGATACCATCCCAAGTTTGCTGAAACCGTCCCTGGCGGGCTTCGGTCCCTCACCTACAGCAACAGGATTGATCCGAACCTACCCATCTGTCCAGACCAGCTAGCCAGCCGGGACTGCCCTCGGGGTGCTGACTGCATCTTCCAGCATTTCGAGTCCATGAAGCTGCCGGGTAGGTCGCCTTCACCCCGCAAGGACTAATAACCACGTTGCGTGTCCTCGAGGCATGTCGGGCGCTGACGGTCGCTCCTCCGCGCTTTAGACGACCAGATTCTCCTCCAGTTGGGTGGCACGACCCTTGAAGGACCCGAGAAGACGCAGTTCAACGATGGCTTGCGCAAATTGTTGCAAGAGATGAGATCCCAGAACATCAAGGACTTCCCCAGCATTGCAAAGGGCATAGTCGATTACCGCAACCGCTTCAATGGCGACCCGTCAAAGATCTTGCCTCTTGGCAATGTTTCGATCTGAATGGCGGAAGAGACACGAGCTTGATGAAGCTTCGTCTGTATCTCCCCATGTCCACATCGATTGGACTCTTTGAGTATTGGCTCATTTCCTTCCCTTTCCTTTGGCATCAGAAGATTTTGTTTCCTTCCCTTGGTCTTTAAACACATACCCACCGCATACCTCTCAGCAGAGGCCCTTTTGGCCAGCTGAAATGAGTCTTGGGCGGCGTTTGCGAGATACCCCCTCCTTGCGTTATTTTCAGAAATGATTCGGCCTGAGGCAATCAGGAGTGAGGCACAGGTACAATGGAAAACGGCAAGTAGGCAAGAAAAAAAAATAGTGTTGGAAAAGAGTGGTTGAGATCACTCCCATGTTTTGAGTTGAGACTACTGAGGTTTAGCAAAGCCTTTGAGTTGCTTGCTATCACCTCGAAAGAGCTGTTCAGGTGGCCCGAACTGGGTCGTACGTATTCAAATCAAACTCCATTGTCTTCATCTCTTGCTCAGATGGCTACTTTATGTGATGATGATGCGCCGATATGTCATTGTTGAGAACACAACAAAAAGGGACTTTGCTTCGGTACGTGAAGTACAACTAGATTTTATTTCTAACGGAAATACAGTCGTTTTCAAACTACGTACTGACGACCCCAAACTCTGCATGCCACTTCTAATTGAACCCTTCATTAAACTCTCGTACCCCGCCCAAAAAGCCACCTACTCCCAGATATGTAGGTAGTATTTACTACCAAGACAGGTTGAACAGAAGAAGAGAGAGAAAGAAAAGAAAGAAAGAAAAAGAGCAAGTAGAGAGAAGAAGAAAGGAGGAGCGAAGAATCGTAAGAGAGAAGAAGAAGAAGAAGAAAAAGAAGAAGAAGGAAACCATCCACCCACGATACTGAGCTTTTCCAGCAAAAGAAAACAGAAGCGATAAAAGGGGTAAGCAGTCGATCTATACTACTGACGCTTGAAGCATGGGGGAAGCGTCTGGAACAGTATTACATGCTTACATGCTTTTTGAGAGAAAAGATACAAGGGCATTTGGAAAGCTTGGCAAAGGCCCAACCCATTAAGCAGTCTCGATGGAGCTCCCATTGCTCTTTTCATATGAATCAAAGTTGACCAACCTCGGTCCCGAAATGATCCTCCTACGCCTGTTTGGCACGCCAGCAGTACGATCAGCCGGCGGCTTAAACAACTGCGAACCACACAGCGCAGGATGAAAGAAATTCAACCCCACGACGGAAACGACAATCATGACGCCCTCAAACGCGATGAAAAGATCCTGGCGCGCCATCAGGGGGCCCGTCCACCCGCCGCTGAGCTCAATGACGCGAAAGACGCAGCGGATGAAGATGCAAACGGTGGACACCACGAGGGCGCCCAGGAAGCCCTTGAAGCGCGAGGAGCGGCGGAGGCGGACCATGTCCGGGTGGTTGTCGAGGGCGCAGGAGAGGTTGGGGAGGTGGGCGTGGCGGGAGGCGCGGTAGGTGCGCAGGGCGAAGTCGGCGGCGACGAGCATGAAGGCGAACATGGTAAAGACTTGGAAGGCGAGGCCTGCGATCATGACGGCGTCGCCTTTTGCGGTGGGGAGGTCGCGTTTGGAGGCGACGGAGGCGAGGGCGCCGCCTACGGCTTGGAGGGCGAGGGAGATTAGGTCGCAGGGGATGAACTGGGTTTGTTAGCTTCCTCTCTCTCTCTCTCTCAGTGTCTTGATAAAGAGAGTTCCTTACGATCCTGGTGTACCATTTCGGCGGGATCCTCGAGTTCTTGGGCCCAAACGCTGTGACGATCCGCCGCAGACAGAGATAGATGCCCGCGGCGAGGAACGCCGGACCGACAGTCAAACAGCAAACCTGCACCAAGAAAGGATTCTCGTTCCACTGGTTCTTCCAGCTGAAGATGCGTCCCGAGTATCCAATCATCTCGGACACGATCCCCAGCATCATGGCGACGCTAAACAGGTTCGCCCGGCGCGTGCGGTACATGGTATACGCGAACCCGCAAAACGACAGGAAAAACAGGACGAGAAAGACGACGTTTGCAGCCAGGGAGACGCGGTACGAGTAGAAGGAGATGACGCCTTCCTGGCAGTACTCGAGGTCGGGCTTGAGGAAGCAGAAGGCGGGGAGCCAGGGTGCAAAGTCGATTTTGAGCTGTTTGATGACGGCTTCGGGAGGGGGATTTTCTACGCTGTAGCCCGTGGAGGCGAAGATGTGGTTCAGGATGCGGTCTGGGTCGATGGTTGAGGGATCTTTGTGGGCGTCTTGGACGATTTTCATCATTTTGTCGTAGTCCATCTTGGGCTGGGGTTGGCCGCGGTGCTCGCGGTGTGTGATGAACGGGGAGATGGATGAGGTGGATGGACAAGGAGGGGGAATGGGAAAGGGGCAATGGGCCGGAGGGGGCTTCAATGTCTTTTCAATGGCAGAAGAAGACAAGGGGAATGATGGCAAAACTCTCCGAGAGAGAAAACATATCGAGAAAGAAGAGGGAAAGAGCCTGGAGGTATGATATACCTCCAACCCCTCAGGGTAGACGGGACCAAAATTATTCGTGGGGAGACAGAAATCATGATTGAGCTCATCTTGGGAGCAATTGACCTCGTAGTTAGGTCAAGGGCAACATTGCACTTGATACGGGGTAAACGCTCCCCGTTCAATGTCCTCATCACTTCTACCCGGCTCATCCCCCGACATATGAGGAACCCTTTCGGTATCATCTCGTTCGACTTTGACAACGTTTGGGGTCTAGACACTTACACATGGCGCGGCTCGCCATGCAGGGGAAAGACTTAAAAGTCGGGGGGATAGAAATGAAATGCCTGTGAGGTCGAGCAGGCAAAAGCACACTGCATATTGGATAATTCGCTCATCATAGTGCTTTAGGTAGCTCCGTCATCTATGACAGTTCGTGGCGTCCCGAATAATTGAATCCGTATTGATTCGGGCTGAAAACAGTTCTCCGGGGTATTCCTACACTCCCATCAAGTGGAAGATTGTCTCGAGAATCTTCTATCAAGCATGGGACTTGCCGCCGACCTGGAACTGGGTCTGTTCAAATCATCCCAGAGGTGCCATAACAGATGCCGTTCTTTTCACCATATTTGCATCCGTGTGAACAGCCTGGGTAAATCGAAGGCATTCATGCTTAATCTTCAAATCACTTCCAGTAACAGGGCGGCAAGGCTACAAGGGTGTTCGTCCAAACTCTCCTAGTCTCGAGCTTAATCTAATTTTCTACATAGCTCTCCGCAATCCACAAGGTAACTTGTCCTATCGGCCCGCAACACAGATATACTTTTGCCAGGTGAGGGGGAGCTCCCGATCGATGAACACGTGCAGAGGTTGCATCAAACGATGAGCAGGAGAGCTTTGACACTTTATTCAATTATTGAAATGCACGTCTTCACTTATTGGGTACAGGCGTGGTGGAAGGGCCTCAGAAATGCTAGAGACAAGTGAAGCACCGGGAATCAGTTCGCCGTCTAGCTCAATCAGGACGAGTCTAGTGAATAGATTACACTACGAAAGATGTGCTGTTTTGCCGCCTTGGTCCAATCCATATCCTACACCTCCGAAGCCCTTGGCATTCAAGGCCTATGGCGCAACCGTCACGCGCTTCTTCTTTTTCCCACCGGTCTTGCTCTCGTCAGGAAGCCCCTTGGGATCAATGGGGTTCTTTGTGACCACGCCGCCCAAGGCCTTACTCGTTCCGAGACTGATACCCCGTCCCTCGCGCATACTATCCAGGCTCAGGTGGCTGCCTCCGCTTCCGCGCCGAACGCCGATGCCCTTGAGCTTGGACGTTGGAGACTCGCGATGGCTCAACGAGCTGTCCGGTCGCTCTTCGCCTTCGGCCGCGCGGCTGGATGGCCTATCTGGAGAGGGTGACGGCGACTCGTCGTCGGCTGCAACTTGGGAGTATGGAGTACGCAGGCGGGTGGTGTTATACGGGGAAGGGATCCCAGAAGGACGGTCACGGGTCTTGTTTTGGGAAGTCGGTCTCTCCACAGTCTCGATACCGTTGCCGTTTCGGCCCTCATCCACAGTATTGGAGGCTTCGCTGGCAGAGACATCGCCAGAAACATCGCTATCTCTATAAGCGTGTCTCTTGTATGCGTTCCCGGAGCCCATAAGACTCTCTTGTCTTGCCAGCTGGTAGCGGTCGTATTCCTCCTTGGTATGTTGGGCATCGGTGAAACTGTCGAGAGCATCGAAAACGTGAGGGAACACCTGAACATTGTTGTCTTTACCCCATAAGAAGTCGAGGTGCTCATAATGAGGGATCTCTGTGGCTATTGTCTGGGTTGGGAGCTCCTTGAGCATCACTTTGATGTCGACTAACGAATCGCTACCACCGTAAACAAGAACGATAGGCGTCTTGATGTTCCGTGTGGGGTATTTGGCGACCTTGGTGTACTTGCTAGAAGAGCTTATCGACATAGGTTGGTGGACATCGTCATCGTACATTTGGAACGACTTGTTCCGGATGATCTGGAACCAGTGAACCACACTCTTTGTGCTGGTGAAGGAGTACAGATGAGGGTACGCCGCAAGCTTTTGGCTGAGTGTGATGTTTTTCGTCTGCCAATTGAACAAAAAGGAAAGACCCATATCGATGACTCTAACAAAGATGGGCGGGTAAAGAATGGACTGCCACATGGTGGCGGAGCTGAGGATGGATCGACGGCCGAAGAGAAGGAACAGAACCTGAGGTGAGGCTTTGATCAGAGCGTCGACGATTCCGTTGGAAAGACCTGCTGGCGACATGGCCGGGGCCAAGGCAATGAAGACATTGACCTGCTGGTTGAGCTTGGGATGGATAGCAAGGGTAGCAAAGGCCTGGGCGGTTCCCTGAGAGAAGCCAATGTACGACAAGCTCTCCTGCGAAGTTGTCTCCAGGATGTACGAGATGCTGTCCGGGATATCGTGGAAGGCGAATTCGTCGATGGAAAAGTTCCAAAAATCAGTCGACTTGGGCGAGTGATGCACCGACTTCTTGGAGTACTTGTTGCCACGGTTGTTGCCAAACTACACGGATAGTCAGCAAAGGCGCGCTCAAGTTATCACAAGGCGAAGCACCGACCCAAACATCATAGCCCTTCTCGACGAGCACAAAAGGAAGACATCGCTGCTCATCGGTCAAGCAGACCCACACCTCGGAGTTCATGAGCAGTCCATGGTGTAGATACAAGACCTTCTTCTTCAGACTTCCCGGTCCGCTGTTGATCTTTTGTTCCTCCTCGCCCTTCTTCCATGCCAGGCGGTGCAGACCGAGCAGGTACCCATCCTTGGTCTGGAGGACATGCTCTTCAGCTTCATATCCGTACAGGCGGCAAAGATCCACAAAGTCGGAGGCGTCTCGCACGGAAGTGGAGATGGCTGCGCGGCATCACCAACGGTTAGCGCAATGTGAACCACACAAATGTAGGTTGGAACAGCCGCCAGACGAGAGACGAACATTTCTTTTTTTGCTCGGCGCGCTTCTGCTCCGGAGTCGAATATCGGTTAAATAAGCGACGGGAAGCTCTATAAAAGAGCGAGATGAGCGGCGAAGCTGTAGGGAAACCGGATTAGCTAGCTTGGACGCCACCGCTCGGAGGGAGGCGCATTTCGTACGCAGAGCCAAGGTAAGGACACGGATGATAGCCTCGAGCCCGACAAGCAGGAAGGACCCCACTAGAGCTACATATTCGACGCTGCGCAATGCCGTTAGTGCCAGGCCAAGTCTTATTCGCGAGTTGCGCTGCATTGGAGAGGGAGCTCGAGCTCGAGCGAGGGAACGAGGGGAAAGGCCAGGAAAAAGGAGGAAAGGGAGAGAAAGGAAGGACGATAAAACCGCAAATACAGGCAGAAGGCATCTCTTACATGTTCAATCGCCCAATGAAAGGGATAGCCATGGTGGTTGCGCAATTGGAACGAGATTAATCTAACGTAGAAGCCGTGGCGCGGCAGGAACGAGTATGTCTAAGAGAGAAAGAAGAAGAAAAGGTTGCAAGGGGATTTCAAGCCATTATCGCTGAATGCGCAGACGACAAAAAGCTTAAGTGATTTGACTACTGCGTAGTTTCTCGACTGGCAATGGCTGGACGCAAGAATGTGTGTCAGCGGAACGAATCTGGAAGTGAGTGGTCCGCAGTGTGTGGGAAGTCTGAGGTTTCCAGAGGGAAGAAGATGTGCAAGGTGAACGAACCTAAGGTACCTAAGGTGAGGTAAGTGATGTCACATGTGAGGATGGAAGGCATCCCATCTGGGCGGGAAGCTCCCAAAAAGGTCCAGGTCCAAGGTCACAGCACACCTTCCCGACTTCTCCCACGCGGCGCCACGACTCCTTGGGCCTCCTTGGCCCCTCTTGTGCTCCCCAAATCATTCCAATCAACAGATCTGACAGTGTGTCAGTGGCAGGGACGCTGGCGTGTGAGCACGCGGTTGGACGGAGGAGCCCGCATCCTTGCCAACTTGCTCCCCCAAAGTGGGGTTTTCTTATTGAAGGACTGCAGGGACATCCAACTCTAGCGGCCCTGCTCTTGCCTCTGCGACTCTCGCACCTTGCAGCACACCGCTGCACAAAGGTGGGTCTTATCCTTCCCACTTTGGCCAATCACAGCTATCATGTTTTTTTCCCTTCTTCCCCGGGGCCCGGGGGACCGCTCATCGCAAACTTGAAGCTCCGACAAGCGACAGCTCCCAAATAGTCGCACCACTTCCGTGTACTCGTCTCTAAGGTACCGAGGGAATGCCAAACCACCATCACCATGCCTAGCTCTTGCAAAGAACTGCGTACGCTCTCCCTTATCCTCCCACTCATTCCGCGACTAGACGGCATACTGACCCTTTTCCCCAGGCGAGGCTCTCGCGCAATGCCTCCAGGAATCCGAGTGCGTCATGGTCCAGCGCAACAGCGCCTCCGACTGCCTCCGATCGCCCCTCGTCGAGGGCCTCCCCACAAAGTGCCAGCAGCTGAAAAAGGGTTTCGGCGAGTGCAAGCGCGGCATGGTTGACATGCGCAAGCGCTTCCGCGGCAACATGCCCGTCAACTACAAGACCATGAACGACGCCGAGAGCGGCAAGGGCTACCAGCTCTACGCCGGACGACCGGCCTTTGCCGGCGGCAGGGGCGAGACAGACGGCAACGAACCCGCGCCTAGGGACTGGCGCGAGGTCGAGAACGAGCAGTACCGCAAGGAGCAGGAGGCCGCGCAGAAGAAGTGATTTGCCAAGGGCAAGAGAGGCAAAAAGAAGAGTCAATAAGAGGGGGAAAGGAGGGTGACCGCTGACAGGCGCGGTTGTGGGATACAATACTTGTACAAACTATGTGTATGATCTGAAGAGCGAGGCATAGGGAGGCGTCATGGCGTTCTCAAAACATACAAAAACGATGGCCCTGTTTAGGACAGGCCCGAGCTGCATCTTCTTGGGTCCTCACACGACGAACCACGAGGTAAAGCATGCTCATGTATTCGAAAGGAATTGTAAGATTCGCACGGCCATAGAACTTCTCCACTAAGAAGATTGGAAACTAGAGCATCTGATTATGATGAAAGATGAATCTAATACTACGGGACATAATCAGCAGTACAGTCGCAAGCATTCCGAGCAAACCCGTACCATCTCATCGGTGCGACTCACCCTGGGACTGTGTTATCTTCTGAACTTCGCTGCTTCAACCAATGAGAGGGTCAGGGAGACTCAGCCCAAACTTCCGATGAGTGAATGCTGTGTCAAGTCTTACCCATAGCATGGCCCAGATCTTAGTATCAGCCCCTCTTCGCTCGGCATGAGAGATACATCGTCGGCATCACCGCTAACAGACCGGTTTCCCTTAGTACGTGGGCAAGGCAGCCGGGTCTCAGGGAAGTCTCAGAAATAGAGAGAACGAAAAAAAGAGTTCACCCCTCCCGGTGCTGAACTGGGGGCTACATCTCTTGGTGCTCATGCTGGGAAATTTAATAGTGCTCATTTCGGGATTCGAACTCGTGATACTCGTATGCGCTAAGCCTGTCGTCGAGTAGGCTGGTTGGCGATTTTAATTGTTGACCATGAACCACTCCACCACCCAGCCAGTTTGACCTGACCAACCGACCTAGGAAGGCGCCTGCTGTGCTGGTGATAGGAATGGACTTGAAGGGGTATATATGGGCTTCCCATGTATTCCATCATGTGTATATTCGGGGCAGGTCATTTTACCACCCTCTCGGCTCACTCATGAATGAATCACTTAGATATATGCCGTTAATCTGACCATCGGTACTTGGAGAGGCTCACGCTTTGCAAACTCAGTTTACGTGCCTCAGCGCAGTTCAATGTGTACTAATATGGCTACAACCATAAACTCCTATCACGAAACATGTAGGCGTGGGCTCTTTTCTCAATAACACAAAGGTGCCTAGGACTACGCAGCGCCCATCCCTTGGAATCATCTTCAGTATGGACGGAAGTACTTATCAGGCGAAGCTGACCGAGTCTACTTTCTCTTTCACGTATACTGTAACTTCTGAAACTTGGTTACGGAAGAAGATATCATTGGCAATATAGGGTTGGGCTTGGACAGTTCAATTGAAATCGCCTTTGACACAGTCATCAAGAAATCTTGTTACGTATGCAAGAATTGGAGGCACATCTACTTCAGCAAGGACAGTTGACTCTACATTTTATCTACAGTCAAATGATCACGGAACGGGACCCTTGTTGAGAAGACAGCAGGTGCGATGAATTAAGATTATATTATCAGGCTAGTTCGGTTGCCCTTAGAAATTAATCCTTCCGTACCCCATCGGATCTCGCATCTGATCGTCGAGAGCTTCCTCCATATATCCGTCATATTACGGCCCCATTAATCGTGTGAATTCATCTCCACAGCCCCGTGCCCCGGATTATCCCCTCTCCACAGATCATCTCCATTAAATCGTTCCAGTCTGGTTGGTCGATACTCTCACAAGAGCACCATAATCCCTCGCACCAACGAAAAGGTCCAGACTTTGCAAGGGACCCTCCACGCAATTTCGGACCCGCGCCAAATCACTCCCGTGTAAAGACGGACTTAACGACGCGGGCCCATCCCGAGCGCTTCAGCGGGCTTGCCCAACTCTCGGCGTTATGATGGGCTGACATGAAAAAAAAATAAGAAAAAGAAAAGGTTGGCGCCCCCTTCCCGCTCTGTCACTCTCCTCCTTCTCTAGCCCGTCCTTATCTCACGGAGAGACCAGGCCAGGCGAGTCAGGACGGAAGCCCACCAACCTTCTCAGCCCTGTTCTCTATCTCGACGAAGAGACCAAGCCCAGGTGAGGCAGGCAGGGGACGTGTAGGATCGAGCGAGAAGGGAAGAAAATAAAGAAAAAGCGCCGTCGCTTCAGGCTCACGCGGCTCTCTCCAGCGGACTCTCGTCATCCGCGGCCAGCCGCGCCGGGGTGTTCATAGTTGTGCCGCACGTTATCCCCGGCGCGTGGACTCTTTCGGACGGATTCATCGACGCTTCAGGCCCATGCGGATGCCTCCCAGCGGGTTGTTGTAAAAAGAGTTGTTTTGAAGAATTCGGTTCTCGACTGGACTTCGGCTGGCGTCCCATTACCGCGTACACAGGAAAATCGATTGAAAAAAAAGTTTGCTCTACGCTTCCGAGATCAAGTCTCACCTAGAAGGGAGACGACCTGGCCAGCGGAACAAAGGAAGAAAGGTGCACTCCTGGCCTGCTCGACGTCGCAGCATGACTGTAGGCTTGTGATCGTGGCTTGGTTGGCGGTCATGGCGGCGGAACAAGGGAGGCGAGTTGAGACGATGTGGAAAGAAGAAACGCAGGAATCTTTGGATGAGTTTGGCTGAAGAGACTCGGCTACGTGGCGAATTCTGTGAACGAGGGTAGAATTGCGCTGAAGAGAAAAGGAGAGGAAAAGACCGGTAGAGATGAAGGACGGACGAAGACTGCTTTATAGCGAGCGTGAGACAGTGTAAGTCACGTCAATTTGATATCCAATGTGATAAAAAGGTGGAGTTGAAGTTGAGAAAAGGTTTGGGGCGGTAAAGGTGGAGGGGTCAAGCCGCGCATTCGGTGTGATCTGCAGCCGTGACACCCCTCCACCAGGGAAAAGGGCGCTAGCGAGCGTTGGTCCGCCTTGTTCCGGGGCTCGGAGGTACCTCACCTTGGGCGGTGCTCACCTCCACTGGGCCACGTCCCTACGGATAGGTGGGCTGCGGGCACTTTGGCCCCTCCTTGGTGCCCCTCCAACCCCCCCGGGCAGTTTCCAGCTTGAAGGGGACGTGGAAACGTCTCAACCTGCCCACCCCTTCCCTTTCCCACTCCAAGGACTAAAACCCACGGAAACCTGTGACAATCTCACCCTCGTCCATCAACGGTCCAAACCCCTCGGTGAAACTACGAGCGACTCGCAAATTCTCCCAAGAACTCGATGGCCTGATGTCTGAAACCTGATTCTGCAAATCGTCGATCCGTCACCCTCATACGTCGCCGGGCTGCCCGTCTGCCAAGAGCACCACGCAATCAAGCTTACCTCACTCTATCTACCGAAGTCTTACTCGCTTGCGGCTTTGCATCGTCACTCCGCTTACCTTACCTCACCGAACCCCTGTCGTCCAATTGCTTACAGTCTTACCCACGACGCTCGTCTCGGCGTCCTTGTCGTCTTGTCAACTTCTCAACCGGCAACGGCGGGGCAGATAGCGTGTCAAAAGACGCAACTTCAGCTTGTTGCCAATCTTTAACCTTATTCAGGGTTTCTTGGCAGGCACATTTCATCCCTCCTTCCGACGACAAAGCCGGGTCTGGAATTTGGGCAGAACACCAACGCCAAAGACAGAGCAGGCTGAAATCGTGCTGCCGACTCTTCGAGCAATTCATCCTGCCTCGGGTAAACCTTCGTCGAGGCTGCAGGTTGCGTCAACAGAGGAAGCAAACAGACGGGCATTACGGCACTGCGAGAAACCAACCAGTGTTTCCAAGTCCGACAAGCATCCTCGAAACACCCAGAAACTGAGGGAAACCACCCATCAAGATGGCCCCGACTATCATACAGTGGATCCTGGATACACGGCATCTATGGCCGGAAGCCACTGAAACGAAGCAACTCGAACAAGCCGTACGTACTGCACCCCGTTCTTGATCGAATCTGCATTGCCGTTTGCCCGTTGCCCCATGCCCGTTTCGCGGCTCTGTATTATTCAAACATGTCCCGGCGAACCATTCCAAAACTGCTCATCCCAAGTCGTCGCCCCTCCCTCCCTTTTCTATGCAACAGCAACTTCGAATTTCGAAGCTCCCCTGCCCCCTGCATGTCATTTACTCCTGGAACAATGGGGACCTTCATAGTGGAAGACAGAAGGAAAAAAAGAAACTGAGAAACAAACTGACACGAAACTGAACCCGCTGATTAGGCATCCCGAGCTTTCGCACTCCTCAGCGCCGATGAGCGTAAAGCCGTGCTAAAGTACTACCACGTTCGCGACGCGAAGCTGTCTCTGGGTTCGCACCTCCTGAAACGTTACGCCATCAGTCGCTTCTGCGGCGTCCCCTGGCACGATGCCACTGCCATCCGCGACGAGCGCACCAAACCCATCTTTCGCACTGCTGACGGCACCAGCCCGCTGAGCTTCAACGTGAGCCATCAGGCAGGGCTGGTCGCCATGTTCGCGGTCCACGGCTACGATGTCACCGCGAGGGGCCCCGTCGACGTGGGCGTCGACATCGTATGCACCTCGGAACGCCGCACCAGGGACCATGGTATGCTGACCAAGGAGGGCTGGCCCAAGTTCGTCGACGTCCACGCCGACGTGCTCTCGCCCATCGAGGCCAACTTCCTCAAGTGGCAGGTCCTGGCGGCGATCCCACCAGGGTTGAAACCGGGCGCCTCGCTCGAGGACGCGGCCGACTTCAAGCTGCGGTGCTTTTACGCGCTATGGTGTCTGCGGGAGGCGTACGTCAAGATGACGGGCGAGGCGCTCCTCGCGCCCTGGCTGGGGGATTTGCAGTTCAAAAAGTTCCGGCCGCCGACGCCTGCGGAGAGTTTTGGTGCCGAGAGCGAGGCGGTCGCGGATCATGAAATTGTGTTCAAGGGGGCCAAGGTGGAGGATGCGAACGTGTCCCTGAGAGCTCTGGGTCCGGATTACATGACTTGCTCTGCTGTCCGGACGCCGGAGCACAAGGAGGATGGATTGGCCTTCGAGCTGGGGCCGTACAAGATGCTGGATATAGACGAGGTGCTCGCTTTCGGAGAGGAGCACCAATAATTCATACTTGCCTGTATATTTGGTCTTATACAGATGTTTGTAGATCTGTCTCATGATAGAGGTTGACGGCTTTGCATATGATAGCACTGGCTATGAGTGATCTCAAACTTGATTGATTCTTAGGAGACCTTTAATGACTCGTATCTAGGCTATCTGTCTTTCTCCCCTTCTTCTGACGGAGCGGATTGGAGTCTGCCTGTAATCGGATAGGTTCAAGCTCTCTTAGAATTCTTTGAATCAGTTTCCAATTTCAATTCGTTGTGTGTCGTATTGAGCGACCGTTGCTTTTCCAAGACAGTCTTCTTCCCATCCGCCCACACCGTCGATCACAGGGTTGACGTTTAAAAACAACGCAGACATTCGTTCTGCACAACAATGATCACAGACACGCACTTCGTTCAGCATGAACATGAGAGATTCAGATATCTTCCTAGAACCTCGGTTCACCAGAGATTATATTCATACAGCTCATTTGTTGTTCTGTAAGCATAAGTACTAATCTACCTGCACCCCACCATCACAGAACCAAGTGTAAAAGCAGTGTTGAGACCATCGTGCATTCACAATCGTAGGCAAGTTTTGCATTCACTCCCCTCGGGATATGAACCCTGATGGGTCTCTAAATGTCTCTTGGAGTTGCAGGAACCTTGGTTTGCTCTCTCTCTCTCTCTCTCTCTCTCTCTCTCTCTCTCTCTCTCTCTCTCTCTCTCTCTTGATGTATTCTTAGGCCCATATGGCTAGATCCTAAAGGAAATCTCCCTTTGTCGCTGTTAACGTCGTCTTCGACTCTAAACGTATTCGTTGTTCCTCTAAGACGAATACCTCAATGAGAAGACCACAAGGTGACGGCAGAAAACATAAATTAGGCAGTTCTTTTTCACCCTTTAGGTATCGAGGTTCGCAACTGGCGCTGTGGCTTCAACCGTGAATCATTGAGAATGTACGCATCTCGAGCATCCTCTTGGACGGCGGTTCAACCGTAGATGTCATCAATCTCACGTTCGTTGAGAGACATCGCATCCCCCGAGGAGAGATGCAAGAGCCAATGTCATTCGATTAGCCGACAACCAAACGACGATCGTGCACGAGTACGGCATCATGCGCCTTGTGGTGGGAGACATCCTGACCATTATCCAAGCGATCACCATTGGACGCAGTGATGAGTGGGACCTTCTCCTCGTTCTCCTTGGTATCTGCCATTGCCCCGACTCCTGCATTGCTCATGACTACGGATTGGCCCTATAAATGGCGAAGTTGGGTGCGACACCACCTTGTAAGGTTGGGTGTACCCAGCCGAACTTGCACCGTCCCTCAAGGTAACGATCGCTTGCGAAAATGGTATCGGAGATACCCTCCTCGCTGACATCAAGAATGATGCCGCCGCCTCGAGTCACTGATGTATACCACATTCCAACACCCACTCATACACGCATCACATCTTCGTTACCTCGTTTATTTCGTCAAGGTCAAGAACCACTACAGGCTGTGGCTATACGTCTTTACACCATGTCTTACGTTGATTATCTCTTCTATGTCTTCATCGATACATTCGTCGATTCCGTTGTCAGCGACCTCGCTGACATCTTCGTCAACGCCTTGTTTGGCAAGTAAAGTATGGTTGAGTTGGAATCCACAAGCAATGAGCGACTGTATAGAGTCACTCACAACGCATGAGTGTCTTGGCGTCTCTTATTCTCAGTCTTCTCGAACACTCATACACCAAATCGACCCCCAAATCAGTCGCCAAGATCCAGCATCAACATACATCTACCAGAGCCAGTTCAGGCCGATGCGGACTCAAATCCCATATCCACTTCACCTTCAACCAGCTGCTCGTCTCCTCCTCCACTCCTGGAATGCCCCCAAACGCCTCGACAGGAAATAGCCAAAACCCAAGCGCCGGTCTCGGCGCCGCAGCCAACACCTCGGGCCCATCAAACTCGGGCCGCTTAGCCTGCAGCCCCGACGCCGTCGAGAAACATCCCGCCGGTCTCTCGCCGCCGGCACGTCCTCCGGCCGCGGGAGTGTCCCACCCGTGAAACCACCATTGCAGCCCAAGCCACCGAAAGTCCTCTTCATGAAGGACCCTCGCCGCATCCTCGCGGGTGCGAATGGAACCCTCCTCGCTCGAGGCGTACATGATACGGACGTCCAGATCTCGGCTCTGTCCTCTGTTTGCCACGTCCTCAGGCCGTACGCCAGCATCACGAAGAAGCTTCCGCCAGCCGAGGGGGCCTTCCCTCGGATCATACACGGTCCCGCCAATCTTTTCGAGATCCCGCACGATGCCGACCCTTGGATCCGGTAGCGGTGCGTCGAAGAAGGTGAAGTTGGGAAACACGGGGACGCCGTAGTTGAAGACGTGGACGCGCCTCCAGTCCAGCACGTTGAGGGCGCGGGCGCCGCGCGGTGTGCACTTGAACCAGAGGCTTTTGAGATTTTTTGCGGCGGTGGCTCTGAAGGCGTCTAGGGAGGGGCCTTCGGCGAAGGTGTGCTTGAGTGGCGATGGGTTGTGGGTTGATGTCCGGTAGTCGGATCCTTCTACGACTAGGTGCTGGAGACCGCGGCCTTTGGGGTCGTAAGCGCGGAGATCGTGGATGAAGTCGAAGAAGATAGTGTGGGCTTTTCCGTGGGAGACTCGGAGGTAATCCCAGTCCAGGTTGAGTCGGATGATGGATATTGTTTCGCTATGTTTGTCACGTCTAAATCGGCATGGTAGTTGCGTTGAATAGAACGATGATACGGCGTCTCGTGCTTCCCTGTTCACTCTCGTGAGATCGGGTAACAGGGACCGTTGCGTCTCGATGATGGCCTTATAGTGGTACCCAGAAATTCGACGACCCAGACTATTAATGAGAGTATCCGTTTCGTCGACAATGCGTTCATCTTCTTGTCTCTGCTCCGTTCCTTTTTCAAGGATGATATGTATCATCCGATGACGCTGCAACGCATGCTTCCAAATTAGAAGACGAATTTCTATCGGAAACTGTTGGAATACTACAAAGCTGGCACCTTTGGTTATTGCAGAGTCTGGATTGAATAGCTCAAGGTGCGGCCGCCTCGGCATCGTCGTCTCCATCTCAATGTCTTGATCGGACCATGGTCTTCATAGAGTTCCGGAGAGTCGAGACTCGACGACCTAGACACTGATTACACAACAGAAATGGACATGAGGCTTTGAATTCCTGACGTAAGATCGGGCAGGAATGCGGAGGCAGTGGATGTGGCGTTCGACGATGTCTCAAATCGTCGAGGCGCAGCTGTCATTTTGGGGTATGGTCATCTACGTCTTCCCCGATTGGGAAATTCGATTAAGTGATGTAGTTGCGATATGTCACGGAATCCACTCCGGTCGCTGTCGCGGACTCACACTTCTGCCGCTGGCTGGCCAGAATCGTTCCTGGGAAGATGTCATAGAAAATTCCGAAGTCGGTAGCAGGCTGTTGCAGCAAATGGTCAAGGCCGACTTTGTCCAAGGTAAAAATACTGTTGACTGTTGCTCCCAGGGTACCCAAAAGCGTAGCCGCGGTTTCGTCGTGTTGGACTTTCTTGAACCTCGTCTCTGGCCATTGGGGAGCTCTGTTCTATTGAACATTGAGAAAACTAAGATCTAGGTCGGTGGCTGGCGGCGGGCAGCAGCTATAAGAGTTGTTTGATTCGGCGATGATGTTGATAATGCCAGACTGGATTGGTAGGTAATGTTAGACTGGCCATCCTGATGTTTTATCACACTAACTGCACAGCTGCTGAGCGACTTTCACCCACCATATTTACCTCTTTGTTGTTGGTTTCCTCGATCTCCTCGTTGTGATCATCCTAGTATGCGTTGGTAGCGTCAATCCACTCATTCGTGGGAGACTGGACGAGATCTGTCATACAGAATCGCAATTCACGTATCGATACCCTGGGCTTGAACTAGACTATAAGTGCCGCAGTGCGTTTCTAGGTGTCACATGCATATTCGATGAAGAACAGGCTATAAACGGGCAAGGACGCCCCGTACTTTTTGTCTGAGTAGTCAGTCATTTGCTAACACCTTGGTACGCGAGATGGAAAAAACCATGCTGGAAAGCCCGGGGGCCGAAACTTCGATTCACCCTCTTCAGTGGCAGTTATGCAAAAAGTTGGCAAGAGCCAGATGGCTACTGACGTTGAATTTATACCTCTTGGCTACCAGCCCTCTGCGGCAGACTAAATCCGCAACCCAGGACCCTCAAGCTTCTTCCACACCTTTTCCGCATTCTCAGCTAGTCTGGGCAAGACAACACCAACACCACTAGGCGGCTCAGCCCGATATAAAGGAACCACGCGCGTAGCCCCCTTGGAAACCTCCAGAATCGTCCCGTTACCGTACTCTGGATTCTCGCACAACTCAAGCATGCCCCTTGCAACCTCCTCCGGCTCGAGGAACAGCTCGACGCCCTCGCCCTGCGTCATGTGCTTCTTTCCCGGGTCCTCCGACCACATTGGAGTCTGTGTCCTCTCGTCAGCAACAGTCTATTTCAGCAACCCGCACATGAGAGTGTAGACATTGACATGGAATACTACTCACCATCACGGCCCCAGGCGCAACAGCACTACACCGAATTCCCAACCGGTCCCTCATCCCCGCCATACACCTCACAAAGCCGTGAAGGCCATGCTTGCTCGCAATATACAACGGCGACCCGATCCCCGCCGCGTGCCCCGCGATACTACTCACGTGCACCAAACACCCCCCTTTCCCCTCCTGCGTCCAGTACCCGATCGCAAGCTGGCTCAGCCGGATCGGATGCGTCAGATTCACGTCCAGAACGGCGTACGTTCCCGGCTCCGCGTCCGCCGCGTCTCTTGATTCACTGTCCGGGTTCGTTCCTGTCTTGGGAGGGTGCCAGAAGGAGCTCCATGCTGGTTCGAAGAGACCCGCGCCGGGAACAACGATGTCGATTTGGGGGAAGGAGGAGAGAGCGCTGGACCAGAGACGGGATAGGGAGGGCCAAGATGCGACGTTCGTTTCTTGGAAGAGGGCTGAGGGGCGGTCGCTGTTGTTTTTGTTGTTGGAGGTGTTACTGCCGGGTTGGGGGTGAGGGTATTGCTCTAGGAGCTTTTGTGCTTCGTGGCGGAGGGCGAGGTCGCCTATTATGACGGAGCAGCCCTTTTCCAGGAGTAATCTTGCAAAGGCGAGGTTTATGCCTGTAAGGTGTTAGTATACCGGTGGTCCCGGGAGGAGCGTTGATGTCGGAGGAGTGGGTTAGGAGAGGGATGACCTGATCCTGCGCCGGTGATGACTGCGTATTTTCCTGCCACGGACAGAGACATGGTGCCGACAGCCCTTATAGTTGGTGAAGCTGAGGTATCGTGTAAAAGTCTGACAGAAGGTGAAGTTGTCACAGCAGAAAAATTAGGGCACCTGTCATATCGAGTGATCGAACAGCCGTGCCGAGGTGTCCCAATGGGGTCACACATTGCCCGCTCGACTCTGCAGCCTCTGAGGATGCCGCCACTGACGGGTACCATCACCCGGTGCAACCATTCAACCTGTATTTGAAAAGGACTGGATGTTGTCGGATTGGTACGTGGCTTGAGGGGTCACTGGATGTTGGCGTGGGGGGTAGCTGTCCATTAGAAGAAACCCCACCTGTTCATACAGATTTGGCATGTGTACAGAGCTTTGGGGTGTCGTTCATGTCACAATGCGACACAAATACAAGGTCCCGGTACCAAAATGAACAGAGAGCGGGACAGTTGTAAAGTACACCATTGGTGCTAGCCTACCACCAGGAACAAAATCCAACCCTCACCCCGTCTTGGACCCCCTTTCCTCATCAGGAACCCGTCTAGATGTCTCATTCGACGCAACCAAACCCTCCCGGCGCCGATCATTCTCGTCGTCCTCCGGCTTTCCCTCCCGCGTCGCCCATCCATCAACGTACCGTAACGTCTGCCGGCTCCAAACCTTATTCATAAAGAACAACCGCACGGGCACCAGAATGATGATAATGATGGGAAACCCGGGTGCGGCAACGGTCAACGTGACACCAAAGACGATGCCCGTGAGCACGATCTGCGCGATCGTGTAGCAATGAATCCCTATCCAACTAGCGCCGTGAGGCAAGGCAGGCAGCTCCGAAATGGGCGTCAGAAGGTGCCAGATCCTCGTGAGGATCGGGTTCACAGACAGCGACTGGAAACCCATAAACATGAAGAGGCCCGCTAGGACCGAAGTCGGCGTGAAACCCAGCACGTGCTGAAAGGGCGGCGAGACGAAGAGCAGGATACCTGCCGCCTGGAGGAAGGCCGAGTATCGCTGCTCGTGGACGCGCTGGACGGGTTTTGCGGGGGGGCCCTCGCCGGGCCCTTCCTCCTCGGCTTCTTCGTCGACGGGCGGCGGGTCCTCGTAGACGGTGTACATAAGCGACTCGGAGTGGAGCGGCGCCTGCGGAAGGAGGCCGTTGGCGGGCGGGATGCCGAGGATGCCGCACATGATTGTCGTGATGCCCAGGAGCATGACGTCCCACGCGTACCCGCCGGGCTTCTGGGTGCCGTACCTCTTGGCTGTGCAGATAATGCTGCTGATCTCGTGGTCAAAGTAGAAGAGGACGGTTATGATGATGCCGGGGACGATGGCGATGAAGATCCAGCCGACGGGAAGTTTCCAGAACTCGACGAAAAAGTACTCGCGGCTCGGTGATGACGGCCGGAACGACTTTGAGACCTCGAGCCTGTTGTGGTCGAGGGTCGCCAGGTCGCCGACGTACGGCATGCCGATGAAGAAGACGATGGAGATGGCGGCGGCATACTCGGTCAGGCCCATGCGGATGTACCGGTGGAACAGCGGCTTCCACGACACGGCCGTCGAGAGGGCGATGGCGAGGAGACAGGTGCCCGCGGCGCCGATGATGGAGTAGAGGAAGGCGGCGAGGGAGACGGCTGCTTTGGTGCGCTGGAGCTCCCTGATGGCCTTGTGGAAGTAGATCACGCTGTTGAGGAGGGAGAAGATGTCGGCGCTGAAGTCGGTGACGTATTGCATGGTGTAGTCATGGGCGTTGAAGATGGCCAAGAGGAAGTGCATCCAGCCCGAGTGAACCAGGGACCAGGCCATGAAGGGTAGGAAGGGGATCTGTCCGTAATTAGTTTGCTGGTCACATTGTATTCTTCTGAAAGATGATACACCTTGAATGAATTCTCGCATAGTGTGTAAATGTTCTCCGCCAACACTGAGAACGGCCCCGTAACACCAAGAATCGTCAATGGTTGAGCTGAGAACCTGGGGAAAATGTGTTAGACGATGATGTCTCAGGGTAACGAAACTCTCAGGCGAACAAGATAACTCACAAGGCAAAGATGATGCCGCAAAGCCCAGTACTAAACACCACCTCAATCGTGCCCCACGACTCCCCAGTCAAAACATACAAGTCGCTCGCGAACGTGATGCCGGGCAAGATATTGGTGAAAAAGACGTACACCGCGCTCGCCAGGACAAGCTGATTGAACACGGTCCAGTCAGAGAGGTACCTCAGTCTGAAGTTGCCAAAGTCCTCCTTCAGCAGCCTGAATGGCCTCAACTTGCCGTCTCTCTTCATGTAGCCACGCCATCTGTGGTTGTTCCTGTTGCTGGTGTCATTGTCACTGCTGTGTCGTCCGCTTCGGCGCCTTTCTGAGCCCGTATCGTGGACCGAAACTTCATCAGGGCCTTCTGCTTTTTCAGTAGACCTCCTCCCTACCTTGTCGCTGATGAGACCGTGGGACTCGCGGACCGGCGTTATGACATCGTCCTGGTGTCGAAGTGATGTGGCCGAGGGTGGTCCGCGGTCATTGTCTGGCCCCGCGGGCGTAAGATTTGGTGGCATGTGGGAGGGGGCTTTTACGACTATCAACACAGAACGAGCCTGTGTGCAGTCGTTAGATACACGAGAGATGGCAACCCAGTGCGCTGGTAATGAGAAAAAATATGCTATGGCGATCTACACGATGTAGAAGTAATCATGTACATGATCTTGAAAGCCCAGAAATAGATAGGAACCGAAGATTGGTACTGAAAATAGACAAGAAACACTCGACAAAAGCCAGAACGGTTAAACGGCAGAGGCGTAAAGAACTCAAAACACTACAAAATACCGCTAATGCAAACCTTTGCTCATCCCAACGAACTCCATCTTGCAGCCCAAGGTCCATGGATTCCCTTGACTCGAACAAGTTTTCTCAAGCACCTTTACCAGGGCTTCTCAAAAGAGAGAAGGTTCGGGCCCCGTTTCGACAAATCGACATCCCACCGTTCCCCACGTGCTCATTGGCCAGTCTTGGCAGACCATGACCCCACTGACAGCCAAGGGTACGTAGTGCGCCCGGTCCGAGCTGGGATAGCTCTCGAGGCTGACGTCATGGCTCGTCGGCGTCGGGGCCAGCAGGTTGCCCCTCCTCCCTTTTCAGGGATCATCCAAAGCCACAGCCAATCAGAAGATGCGACCGCTGCGAGGCTATCGGACAATCGGCGCCAGGCTGAAGAAATTTCGACACGAACCAACCTTCATTGCTCCGAGATTATCAGCTTCAACCACCTGCAAGCGTCAACCCCTCCCTCCCACCACCGAGCACTTCTTCCAAGGAAGTCATTTGCTCTCCCCCAACGATGAAAAGGTGATCGCAAGGAACGGATCCTTAGCACAAGGGTGCCCAAATATCCCCCCCAACCCGCGTCCCCGTCCCAACCCCCACAACCCCGGCGATGCTGCTCCCGACCGCCGCACGCCGGAGCGCAACCACGGCCACCACCGCCGCCTTCGCGCCCCGCCTCCGCTTCGACGTCTCCGAATCCATCCCCCGCTCCTACTACCTAGGCCACCACCACGCCGCCCTCCGCGAAATCTCCTCCCGCCTCTCCGACGTCGGCCTCGTCCTCGAGTGCCGCGACTACCGCGTACCCCTAACCAGCTGGAACCCCGTCCTCGACCGCGCCATCGCCGGCCGCGAGCGCATCGTCGTCTACACCCACCGCGACCTCGGCGCCGACAGCCCCGCCTCAGTAGAACAAGCCCTCCGCCGCTTCCACAATGGTACAGGTCGCTCTGCCACCGGCGGCGGTAACACCTCCACGACCCGGCAGCGCGTCGTCTTCTGGCGCAAAGACGACCCCGCCACCACGAAACAACTCCTCTCCGAAATCCGCAGCGTCGCCCGCTCAGTCGACAGCCTGACCGGCATGCGCGCCCTCGTCGTCGGCATGCCCAACGTAGGCAAAAGCACCCTCCTCAACAAGCTCCGCGTCCACGGCATGCACAAGAAACAATCCGTCGCAAGAGTCGGCGCACAACCGGGAGTGACGCGCAAGCTCTCCTCCCCCGTGCGCATCCTCGACTCCGAGACCAGCGGCGCCGGCGACAGCAACGACACCATGGGCCTAGGCGAGGGCGTCTTCGTCCTCGACACGCCCGGCGTCTTCATGCCCTTCGTCTCCGAAGCCGAAAGCATGGTCAAGCTCGCCCTCGCCGGCTCCGTAAAAGACGACCGCATCCCCATGGAGATCCTCGCCGACTACCTCCTGTACCGCCTCAACCTCGTCGACCCGGGTGCCTACGCCAGGTACTCCGAGCCCACGAACGAGGTCAACGAGTTTCTGACGGGCGTCGCCCGCAGGACGGGCAAGCTCAAGAGCGGAGGGGAGGCCAACGCCGACAGCGCCGCCGACTGGATCGTCAAGCAGTGGAGGGTCGGGAACTTGGGCAAGTTTGTGCTCGACGACATCACCGACGAGGCCTTTAAGGACAAGGAGCTGGCGAGGGAAGGGCAGGGCCCGCTCAGCATGAATCAGGCGCGGAGAAAGGAAAAGGAGGCGAGGAAAGAGCGGGCAATGAACAAGAGCAAAGCGGTTTAAGGGGCACAAAAAGTGAGTAGTAGTAAAATTGTCCCGTGTGAGAATTATGGAAAGATACCCCCACACTCTGTATCAAAATACATGTAAAGTAAAGACATTGCCTCTTATGAGAGCAATTTTTGTACACCTCATCCTTCAAGAAAATAAAAACCGAGTAGATCAGGTTGGAAAATACTCGAGATGAAAAAGCAAACTCAACCGAACTTGAGTGCATCACTAACAACGTCGACCGCAATCTTGGAGACTCGCAAGTGTCCGGGTATCCGACAACTCTCCTCGAACCTGACATTATCAACTGACAGTAGAACCGCACAACCAGTGCGTACATGAGCAATGGCTCGTGATTGAACTGCCTTCCAGTCTTTTGTTCGAGTAACATTTTCAACACCCCAAAACAGACCAAACGCCGCGAAACATCAAACCGTACAGAGTCGCCAGATGCCGTCGAGGGCAGACTCTTAGTATCGTACTCCGAAACGAAAGCAACCATTCGGCTTCAAGTGAGCGACTCTTCGCTTATATAGAGGGCAGCTACGGCCAATCTAGGCCAGCTCATGACGCATATTGATTCTGCCATCGCAGCAGGTCTCGCGTGAGGGCATCCATCATTTCCACGCAATTCAATGCTTTAAAATCTTTCGACTCCGGCCCATTCCCGTCTGTTGCTGCAGTGCCGATTGGTGAATTCTTTGCTACTGCGGAGTCGCCGTTGACGCTAATCTTTGGCGCATCTGGCGCAGCCGTTGCGCGAGGACTTTGTTGTTGGGAGCTATTCTGGCTACTCCTGGATCCCGGTAGTGCTTCGCCAGCCAATTCCACTTGGGTTTTGGAAATGAAGTCGAGGAACGCCGAAACTCTGCGTTTCATGTCGTTCATCGATACTTTGCTATGCGCACTATTTGCTTTTGTCCGGGTGTGCTTGGGGTGGTCGGAATGGGAGTGTTTGCTGGTACTAGCGCCAGTATGGTCGTCATGATTCCGGCCAATGTCTCTAGACATTGACCTTGCTGGTGTGTCTTCGTTATCGTCGCGGTCTTTTGTGTATTGATTTCGACCCTTGCCCCTCTTCTGGTTGTTACGACTGGTCTTCTTGTGTGAGCTTCCGACCGGTGCCTGATTCGCAGGCGGAGTATCCGGGGTCGGGGCAGAGGACGGTGGCGCCTCGACAGGCACCACAGGCTCGGTGGTCGGTTTGACAGCAGGCCGAGCTGTCGCGAGGGGGACCTCTTCTGGCGGATCCGATTCTGCGCCCACGTGAGCCTCAGATTCCTTACCCGGATTAACAGGAGTCGTACCCTCAGCTCTCCTACGATCTGCACGACCCTTCCGTCGATTGGCTGCTTCCGCTCGCTGGCGATCGCGCTCTTCTCGATCCGACTTTTCACGTTGCGTACGTGTGCCGCGAGGCTTCTTTGATTGGCCATTTCTACCCGTACTTTCTTCGTCTGTTTCATCCTCGATGGCTTCGGTCTTCTCTGGGGGCGGTGACATTGATGGCGAACTGGTTCGCTGTCTCTTGAGGCTTGCCGAGTTCCTGGGACTGTTAGCGGGAGTCAGCGTAGTGAAAGATTGAAGACTCACTCAAGACTGTCACTGCGACCTCGCTTCGTTCGTCTTGACGTAGTCTCCGTGGGCTCCGAAATGGTTTCTTCTTTGCTGGCCTCGATGGCCCGCCGCAATTGTTCATCCTCGTCGTATGCGGCATCCCGGCTGTTCATTGTTGACCTCCGCTTCGAGGCCTGGGTAGCAGAAGAAGCGCGGCCCCCGTTCCTGCCTGATTCTCTGGGCGATCTGGTGCCATCCTTAACTAATGAGGCGGCTCGGGATGTTGCGCGCGACGGACGATTGAGAGGCAAGTAGTTTGAGTACCGTTGTCTGAGAAGCAAAAAATCAGCATTGTTAAGGTAATAAGAGGTGTTGTTGGTTGAGCCTCGCCGCATCCGAGTACAAGTCTTCCGGTGACCTCGCCGCCGACCGACGCTTTCCAGCCAATGGCGGATTTGTGGGCGACAAGTCACCGAGAGCTTCTGGACGGAAGGTGGAATGCTTACCCGTTGGCTGCTGCGTGGATCTTGTGCAAATCCTTGCGACACTTTTCGCAAAAGTACTCATCGGGAGAGCTCTCCTCGGTGAAAATGCCGACACAAGCACCATGCTGCCAGACTTTGCAGATGTCGCACTGGACGAAGAGACCAGAGACCTCATCTGACAACTCGATGCTAGCGAAGAAGTCGGCCTCTGGGTTGTGTTTCCCGTGCTTGGAGTCCTCTTCAAAGGGCGGAGGTCCCGGGTATTCGTCGAAACCACATACGCAGCGTACGGACTCGTCGTCCTCTTGGACGTCGTCACTGCCGGTGGCCATATCGTAGGGATCGACACGAGGCTTGTCGCGAGCGTCTTCTTGCGCGCGGGTTCGGCGCCGTGAGGGGAGGGCGTCCTCCAGGTCTTCGGGTGGCTCCGAAGAGAGCGAGGCGCTCGGGGTGGACTTGGCGGAAGAGGTCTTGTTGAGGGATCTGGTCGTTCGTTCGCCGCGACTCGAAAGACTCGAAGTTGTCGAGGATTGCTGTGATTGAGAGACTGTGTTGCCTCGGGCTCGTGAAGAACGTCGAGGGGAGGGTGGTGCCATTGAGGCAGCGTAAGGGGACGGCGGAGAGAGAGAGGAGGAGGAGGGTGGAGGAAGAGTTCGGAAGAGCGAGGAGGAGGGGAGGAAGAGTCGGCGGCGGCGTGTGAGTGACGCAGTAAAGGATGTCGCAGTCGCAAGAGTTGAAGCCAGAAGGCAGAGAGTAGAATTGGAATGTCGGGGCGAGGGGGAAGATTGGTAAGGTAAGGTAACGAGAGTGGGCAGAGAGCAGGTCGGGTGGGTTGTTGTGGTTGTAGTGGGAGGGCAATCGTGCGAGCGAGAGAGAGAGAGAGAGCAGGTAGCAAGAAATGGATGGGCGCGACTCGCAGTCCGGGCTAGTGAGAAGGGAGGATTCGGGTACTCGAGCAATGCTTTTGAGGGGATCGAACAGTTCGCATATCTGACAATCGAGAACAAGGTAGATTCATGTCGTGACGGGTCGGTAGAGTGAGGAAGAG